GTCTAGGATCAATGGGTCTTGTTCATCGAGATGATGGTGGCAAAGAGCATGCCAATGGCGGCAATCGCAAGCGCGAGGTACGTCGACGTCATATCAAAGAGGCACCCTACGGCACTCAACGTGAGTTCAAATGTCGGAGGCATTTTGTTTCGTACCATACGGAGCATGACCCGGCGCCGTATTCCGAAAGATGGGGATGACAATCAAGCCCGAGAAGTAGACCATCGGGTTCTCGACCGGTTTTCGGTTCCAGATAATCGTCGTGCTACAATAATCGAACATAGTTAGTCGCAGTGAACATTTCCAGAGTTCCATACCTGGCAATGTAAGCGAGCGAGAGACCGACGACCCAGATGCCGAGCCACATGACAATTATGTAGCTGAAAAAGAGTGGGTGGCGGTAGGTTTCGATCACGAGACGGCTAGGATGTATCAAGTTGATAAGGAACCATTTCAACAACCAAGCGTTGACGCACCCAAGAGGACCATTGGCACCAGGACCCACGAGGTCGTCGCCCGTCACAACAGCGTACTTCCAGTTGAAATCCGTCGTCGTGTAGATGGCGAGGCGGACGGGCAACGTCACCGACGCATTTGTCACGGGGCTGGTCGTCGTGGCGTGGGCTGAGAGCGGCGCCGTGTATCTAATGATCGCGCTTTCTGTCAGAAACAAAGTAGGAAGACACGAAGTCCAAGTACTTGTCGAATGGGAACATGATGATCGAGCCGGACGACAAGGTCACCTGCAAGCGCACAACCAACATATAAGATCCTCGGAAATATAGAGAGGCGACGCAGTATACCTGCTGCGAGATACCGGCGGCAAGGTTCATGGCTGGGCTCAACGTTACCGCGTTCCCGTTGATATTGAGGTTGAGCGCCCGCGCGAGCTAGACACGCGATGTTGTGAGCATCACAATGCCCTCCAGAGCTTATAGTACTTGACGAGGGTGTTCGGTCGATGTCAGCGACGAAGGGAGCGTACCGTCCAAGAAAAGCTGGGCCGAGATCTCTACAGCACGAATGGCGATGAGCTATCGTGACCAGATGATGCACACGTTGTCCGTACGGTTTGTATCCGTGTTGACACCAGAGAGTACCATAGCAATGGGCAGCGCCGTGTCGTCCGCGACGTCTTTGTGCAGCAAGGTGTAGGCGGTTCGTTCTAGTAGATAGGCGCATGAGACTAGTGTCAACGGCTACACGGACGTACCGTAATTGAGAAGGAGCGTCGGGATGATCGTCAAAAGCAAAATACCAACAATGGTCAAGACAAAGAGGCCTTCAAAGAGCCATCGGCGGTCGATGGGCCGGTGTGAATGGGACGACGACGACGCGGACGTTGGCGAACCAACTTCGTCAAAGCCAAGCTCGACGTCTTTGGTCATGTTCGAGGACGAGGAAATGTGGAAATGACCGTCTTGTGCACACGCGCCTGGTCACGGGTCCAGTACGCTCTCATATACAAACGAAGTACATATACTGAAGCGCAGATGCCTAGGTGGCGCCGAGCGCACACTTGTGAAACGCGCGGCCTGCGACAGTCCCAGTGGGGGGCGGCGCACGCGGCTATACACACTCACTGGATTTCTTGAGGCGCGCGCTGTCGCTAGTACCAACCTCCGTCGTGCCGTGCCTTCCAGTATACTACGCGCGAGATCTTTTCAAAAACACGTACAAATCATTTGAGGGTTCTGTGTGCAGATTGCACCGGTCGCCCAAAGCAGCCACCTTACGACCATTTGTACCGGTACCGGATCGGCCCATTATTGTCCGCCTGTCGTTGTACTCGCCGTTGTAAGGTCTCGCAACCCGCGAAACTCGAGCACGTTTCAGGGTCATTCCTTCACTAACATTGTGCGATGGGTAGCCCTTTGTATGTATGGCCCTAGACCTTGGTGGGTAAAGTCTTCTAGCACGTTGTGCAGTGTGAAGAACGATGCAAATTTTCATTGTGAACATTGTGCGAGGTGTGCTGCAAGCACGGCACAGCGACGGGCACCAAGACGCAGCCGCGACACCAATGGAAGATTCGACGGCTTTAAATTCACGCGGCGTGTAATGCCGAGCCGCGCACACCGAGCGGCTCTCCATTCTCGGTCCAAGTCTTCAAGGAAGGCGAGTAACATTAGCTCCGGTCGTGTCAATTCTGGAGCACGTGCCGCGTCTCGGCGTGATGGCCGTGCATAGACCTTGCATTCGAAGCCGTGCACAGAGGCACACGGCCCGTTGGCGCCGTTGATTGGTGCTACGCATGGTCGTCCAGTCGCAGTGCCATGGCCAAGCAGCGCCCCCGTTTTTAGCGCACATACCCACGGACTGGACACGGCACCGAATTATATGGTACAATCGTGCCAGATTCGGCAAAAGCACTAAACGACGCAACCAAAATGACGTCGTGTTGTTCCGAGCTTACTTAGTCGCGCTTCTTTTTGCCAATGTACTTGATCGCGACCGAGAGGAGGTAGATGAAGATGACTGTGATGGCAAAGTACGTGCACGTAATGTCGAACAAGCAGCCTAGACACTGTGCGTGAGCGACGGACGCTCTCGACGTGGCGAAACAAAAAACATGTAAAAACATGTAAAAACATGTAAAAACATGGAAACAACGATAAAAAACGGGAAAATGAAAAGAAACGAAGCGTACCGTACGGAGGCTTGCCCGGGGCCGTGTTGCGGAAAGCAGGCACGGCAAAGAGTGCTGTGAGGAAGATCTCGGGACTGTCCACGGGCTCGCGGTTCCAAATGACAATCATGCTATTCAGCAGCGCCGTGTCAAACCCCGGTAGCACAAAAGACGCTGTCGTATACCTGCCAATGTACCCGACTGCGATCGTGACGGACCAGATCCCGAGCCACATCAAGCCAATATAGACGTAAAAGTTGGACTTGCGGCCGCCCGAGATCAAAAACATGTCGGCGTTCTCCGTGCTGCCGACGTACATGCGGTCGGCTTCCGCGATCGCGAGCTTCTTCACCGTGTAGCTACATACTCCCGTAAGTAGTGCTACTAGAGTATTTGCCATACTCCCAAGCATAGTCTTCGACGCCGTAGTAGGTCATGAGGACTTCGATTTTCTCGGTCGCTTCGCCCGTGTGCGGACCGAAACCCGTCATGGCTTCGATCTTGAGCAGTGCGCTGTAGCTACAACGTTTTTTGTGAGACTAAACGTCGTCACATCTCTCGAACCGGTCGAGCGGGTATTGACTCAGCGAGCCCGACGTCAATGGAATTTGTGCTGCCATCGGACCGTACGGGTTTGACGAGTTGGCCGAGACGACGGTCGAGTAGCGACCCACCATGAGCCGGAACGGCTGCAAAAGCTGCAACGAGCCAATCAACCATACGCTCACAACACGGTTCGTACCCGGTGCGACGTTGGGTCCTTCAGCTTGTCGGGGATGTGCGTGATGTACGAAGTGAGCGACATGTCTGCACAATAAGTCGACCATGCTATATGCAATCGATGAAATGTATTACCAAAGGTCTCGGTGTTGAGGCCGCCGACGAGCACTTCGATGTGAAGGACGTTCGTGGACCCGTTCGTCATGCGCTGGCCCATGCGAATCGCGGTCGTGTCGTTGTACAAGACCTTGAACGCGTCCGAGTTGCCTGACGAGATGCCACGTCAGAGAGGATGTTGGTCGCTGGACGTACGGGCTTGCTGCTGGAGGTACGGCGTCACGACGCCGACAAACATGACCAAGAGGATCGCGACGGGAATGAGCTGGAGCACCCAGCGCTTGTCGAAGCACCGGACGCGCCGCGTCTCGTCGGCCTTGAGCTGCGGCAGTCGACTGCTCTCCTGCACCATTGTGGTTGGGTGGCTCCAAACGGCAAAGTGGCGATTGTGAGCGTCGAACCTTTCCTCATTGGCTTGGTCGCGCCAAGCCATCTGATTGGTTCGTGCAGGGGGCGCGCCACCATATTATCCAAACTGTCTCAATATGGGCAGCAGTTCGACCACAACCTAACGACGCATAGAACACGTTTGGGGCGACGACAGCTACAGGACTGTGGCCAAAGATCTGTAGCGAAAGATTGGCGCCTTCCCTGTCGCCGTCATTATATATATATATATATATATATATATATATATATCGTCATTCCCAACACAAAGCAAGTCATCGCCAACGATTCACTGGTGGGGCTCAAAACTCCGGGGTACCGAATCTCTCGGTCACCGACACCGAGACGTTGCGAAGCTGCAGCAAGTCGGTAGTGTTGAAACGTGGTTGTCGAGGCTGCGAGACTTGCGTGCGTCTGATCTACACAGTACGTTACATAAATAGTGTCGAATGTACCGGTAGCAGGAATGACATTCTGCACATCGTGTAGTGTTCTGCGCTTCGCAATAAGACTTCGCATCGAGGGTATGGGTCACTGTAGAGCGGCAAATGGTATACTATCGCGCGGCCCCGAAAATGGTATACTATCGCGCGATTTTGGAGCTAATCTGGAGCTAAACGGTAGACTATCGTGCGGTTTTGGAGCTTTCTCAATTGAGAGCACAATCAACTAAAAAACGAGTCGTTTGAGAATAATTGGTACAATATGGTGGGAACAGGAGACGCATAAGAAGGTATAAACGTGTGCAATTGAGATGACATGGGTTATTTTGGTTGCGGGAGACTACTCTGCGTCGCCGATCGTCGGACTGTGGACACGCAAGCGCGGCGAATTGACCTCGACGAAACTACGGGCGGAGTCCTCGATGAGTTCTGCGAGCTCTTGTACCTCAAACCATAGCTCTTCGGCGTCCTCGAAGCGAACCATCCAGGAGTAAACCTCGCCTTGCGCAAGCGGATGATCGTACCAAGCATGTAGTCCGACGTCTCGCGGCCGGTCTCGGTGTCGATGAACGAGAACTCCCGGTGGATGGTCCAGTTGTAGCAGTAACCTGGCTTGTCGACGAGGAGCGCGACCAAGTTGGCAACCGAGTAGAACGGGCCCGCAAAGCTGAGGCTGTGGTGCAGCTGATGAATATCCTTCGTCGCATGTCACCGCATTACGCAACAGCCCTTTGCACCAAACAGCCGGTATACCATGGGTATACCACGTGGAATTATTTGGATAGGATTCAATTGAGTTGCGTTGAGTTTGCCTCAAAAAATCGCGCAATAGTATACCATTTTCGGGGCCGCGCGATAGTATACCATTTGCCGCTCTACAGTAACCCATACCCTCGCATCGAGTGTCGACTGCGCTTACTACAAGCGGCGGCAGTTCTTTGGAACAGGCTAGGTCGCGGGCTGTGTTTGGTTTCCGAGCGACGCTGGGGGGTAAGACCATCGTTGAGCTGGGATTCAATGGAGTTGACCGACACCAGGTACTCGTCCAGCTTGCCATGGTTTTTTTCGTAAGATAAGAACCACGCGATGATCTTGTCGGCGCCCGTCGTTAGGTCCGTCGTAAGCGCCATCTTCCAGAAGAAACTCGGTGTCTTAAAGCCCCAGTCCGCGACGATTGCGTGCCCGAATTGACATCGTAGATGACGCCGCCGCGCGTCGTGACAGGCTCGACGTTCCGGTAGCAATCTTGGACGTCTTCGGTTTGAGCCCATATACCACGGTCAAAGGTTTAGCTGTTGACACTCTGCTTGCTCATGAGCCAGCAAGTGCTGCCCTCATCACCGCACGGTGCTAAGTCACCGACGAAGGTGACGCCGGAGCCTACGAAGGCCATGCCAGAGCCCTCGACTGCCGAACCTACGACCTCCACGCCAACCACGACGCCAGAGCACACGACCTCGACCCCGGAGCCCACGAATCCTGCGCCAACAACTACCACGCCTGAGCCCACAATGGTCACACCCGCGCCTACAACGGTCGCGTCGGAGCCAATAACCAACACGGCGGAGCCTACAACTACGACGACTGAGCCCACGACACCTGCGACTGAGCCTTCGGGTGCAGCAGTCGTTGCCTCAGTAGTCGACGTGCTCTTGGACCGCCGAGCACTGGTCAGGCAGGTGATGTCGTTGATGACCGAGGCCTTGGCGCGCTGCTCGCTCTTGAGCCAACATGTGCCGCCTTCGTGGCTGTTCCAGGCAAAGAGACGGCAACCAGGCAAGTTCTTGCAGTCGGCGCAGCAGTCGTCGGCCGACGTGCGCGCCGTGCGACCGATGTCGTTGCCCCAATAGTCGACGTTGGCTTCGATTGGCGCGCACGTGGGCAACGCCGTCGCAGCTTGCAGCGCGAGCGCCAAGACACCCGCAAAGACCGAGGTGTGCATGAGCCACAAAGTTGAAAAGACCGCGGATCGCGCTCCTGCCTCCGCCGGCCTAGATCAAGATCAACACCAGCGCCTACGCAACGAAGAAAGTCCGACAATTTTATTTAGCGTAGACTCACGTATATATTTTAATAGACGACCCACTTCAACAACAACAAAGTTGAAAAGTGAGGAGATGCAAATGCGAGGCGTCGCGTTAGCCAGGACCACGGTTTGGTGCAAGCGAGAGTCAGATTCAGACGCAGGGCCAGCAGCTGTCGACTTGCTTGTGCCGGATGTATCGCGGTCTCATTTTCATGTCGTACTAGTACAGTCGGAAACTCAGCATGTACTAGTAGTGCATGAAACATAGTCCGTAGTTAACCAAAGAGAATGCGTGCATTGTTGCAGTGAACTTGTACTAGTACGCTGACAACACCAGTACCAGTACCAGAACCAGAACCATTGTACAATGTTCGATGCACACAAGTGTTCACCCCAGGCATCAAGTCCTGATGTCTGGAGCGGCGTAGTGTAACGAGACATGTGTACAGTATGTGTGTTCGATCTGATTATCGCTGAAAAGGCTCCGTCACAGCCATGAGTTTGCACCAAATACCACATGGCTGCTATGCCACGTGTGATATATTTCTATGATATGGGAAAACACTGCAGTAAAAATTGAAGATGGTGCAGCACGCCACATGCAGCCCATGCCTTCTGGTTTGATTTCTCGCACAAATAGGCTGTGAATGGTGTTGTACCGGGTGTAGACAGGGGGTGTAGATGTGTAATATGTGCAATAATTTCGTATAATGTAAAGGTTTTCGCTCATAATTCAGTGAACATGTTTCCATGTCGAGTCCTGGTCGTCGTACGTATGTTTCTATTCATGCAGTCAATTACCGGTACCGGTACTCGTCAATAGACCGTGTTCAGCAGTACTTAGTGAGCTGCGACTGCACACGTACCTGAATTGAGCGCAGATCTGAGTTTTTATAGTGCGCAAAAGGCGCACTGCAGTATGGGCAAGAGAGCGCCATGAAATTACGTGATCTAGACCCAATCCACTAAAATCTCAAAATCTCAATCAATTCCGCGTCGCCGCCTACTACTTCGAGTCCCTATATTGGTTTGCGAGTCCAACACCAAGCATATCGAGTGCAGGGTTACCAAAGTACACCTTGTTAGCTACATGTACGGTGGAAATGGCGTGGTGGGAACCAACGACGACCGAGGGGCTACGACGCAGCTTGGCGACACAACCGGGCAATCGAACTAGTCTTCATTCCTTTTTGTGTGGTGCGTCAATCGCGTATTCGTCTGCATTGATTGATAATTTTGTACATAGAGTCCAACGACAGGAAGTGTCAACCCGCCTCTGTACAGAGCACTACCTCCAAATACGCGTTAAAGTTTACGCACTTTATTCTAGGCCCATCACCTCTTAGTGTCCAGACCGCTTTCTTTATCATAACCACAACTACCACAACGCGATTTAGCCAGTTGCAAGAGTGCTGTACTAGTACTCTGCTAGACGTATCCCGGTGTCGCCCGCATCTTGAGTCCTCCATAGCGCAATCAACGCTCTCGTTCTGCTGTACGAGTGCAAATGGTACGAGTGCGTGTATAGATGCCTCGTTTTCACCTTGACTCACTCATCTGTGTACTAGTACAAACAGGGCGAGCAAGCTTCATATCAGCAGTGCAGTTTCAACGTAACGGTTGATTTCTTGTTCAACACCGCACCCGTAGAGGCGCAAAGTGCAGCGCGTGGAACCTCGTGCCATTACCAATTCAAATGGAGATTCGGCTCGACCAATCTTTCCCAGTGTTTGCGTGGTGTTTGTCAAAGGTATTACTGTTATTAGTTATAAACCATGGAAGAGTGCCAACGTGTGGCTGCGACAGCGCTTCATCACCGGTAATCACAGCCCGTCACATGTTCATTTCCCATGTTACGCGGATGCGATTGCGGGTGCAAGTTAGTACGGTCGCGCTTGCAGGACCAGTCCACATACAGCGCCGCATACTAGTATACGCGTTGTCTCGTCGACAATGCGTGTCCGGCGCAAGCAAGTAAACAGCTGCTGGCCCGGCGTATGTTTCTGACTCTCTCTTGCACCAAGCCGTGGTCCTGGCTAACGCGACGCCTCGCATTTGCATCTCCTCACTTTTCAACTTTGTGGCTCATGCACACCTCGGTCTTTGTGGGTGTCTTGGCGCTCGCGCTGCAAGCTGCGACGGCGTTGCCCACGTGCGCGCCAATCGAAGCCAACGTCGACTATTGGGGCAACGACATCGGTCGCACGGCGCGCACGTCGGCCGCCGACTGCTGCGCCGACTGCAAGAACATGCCTGGTTGCCGTCTCTTTGTCTGGAACAGCCACGAAGGCGGCACATGTTGGCTCAAGAGCGAGCAGGGCGCCAAGTCGTACTACCCCGGCGCCAAGGCATCGGTCATCAACGACATCACCGTGCCGGACCAGTGCTCGGCGGTCCAAGAGCACGTCGACTACTGGGGCAACGACGTCGGTCGCACGGCCCGGGCCTCAGCGTCCGACTGCTGCGCCGACTGCGCGTCCACCAAGAACTGCGCGCTCTTTGTTTGGAACGGCCACGAGGGTGGCACATGCTGGCTCAAGAGCAAGCAAGGTGCCAAGAGCTTCTACTTTGGCGCTGTCTCGGCGACGCTGGCGCCCGTGTCCGAATGCGCGGCCGCCGAGGAGAACGTCGACTACTATGGCAACGACATTGGCCGCACGGCGCGTGCGACGGCGGACAACTGCTGCGACGACTGCAAGAACACGCCGGGCTGCCAGCTCTACGTCTGGAACCACCACGACGGCGGCACTTGCTGGCTCAAGAGCAAGAAGGGAGCCAAGTCGCCCTATACCGGGGCCATGTCGGCGACGCTGAAGGTGACGGTTGCGCCGACGACGATGACGCCGGCACCCACGACAAGTACGCAGGCACCCACGACGAGCACGCCGCAGCCGACAACACCCAAGCCGACGACCGCCACACCCGAGCCCACGACCGAGGCGCCTGTGCTGACGACGGCCCCGGTGGTTTCGACACCGACACCTTCGACGCCCGAGCCCACGACTGCCGAGCCAGTCAAAACTCCCGAGCCTACGACGCCGGAGCCGACGACTGCCAAGCCA